GAAGCCACACACCAACTTTCACACACACTCTCACACACACACACACACACACACACACCCAGACAAGGGGAAAGAGGGATAAAATAGGGGATGAGAGCCCTAGGCTCTCTTGTGTGTGTGTGTGTGTGTGTGTGTGCGCGCATGTCTATGTGTGTGTGCATTCTAAGTGTATGTGTGTTGATATGAAAGTGTGTGTATGTGTGTGCGTGTGCATATGTACGTGTATGTGTGTGTGTGTACGCATACGTGTATGTGTGTGTGTACGCATACGTGTATGTGTGTGTGTACGCATACGTGTATGTGTGTGTGTACGTATGTGTGTATGTTTGTGTATTGTGAGTGTATGTATGAGTGTGCAGGTTAACATGGAATGATTCCCAGTGTGTGTGCGAGGCCACAACAACACCGCCCTGGGGCCCCCAGACGGCCGGGAAAGCCCCGAAGGGTCACAGACCCAGCCGACCCACAGCGGCCAGGTACCCGGGCCCCCGCCACCGGACGGCTGCGCGCCCACCCGAGGAAGGCAGGGAAGGCGGCACCGGGCGCCCCCCACCGGCGAGCACGAGCTAGGAACCCCACGGCCACAGGCGGCAGCGCGCCGCCCCCCCCCCGGGAGGCCGGCCACGCAGGCACGGACAAAGCCCGGACCCCGGACCACCCGCACACCCAATTCAATTGTTGATACTAAGTCACTTTCCCAAGGCACAACACTGCACTACCCCCCACCCCCCACTTATACATACTCAGACATTCCCTTATTTATGACTTTTTAATTTTTAATTCTTAATTTTAATCCAATGCTGAGAGACTTGTTTCCCTGCTTATCCTCTCGTCCAACACTTATCTTTGTAATGTCGACCCTGCATTAACATATATGTGACAAATAAATTGAAACTTGAAGCTCCCAACTGGATGGGGTCACTGTCAGTGTGGCAGTAAACCTAAGACTAATGAATCCACTGCCTCATTTGCTTACTTCAGTCTCACCTGTGATAAGACAAGAGCAACACCAAGGGTAGATGATTGACTCCAGGGGCGCAGCTAGAAATTCTGGGCTCCCTGACAAAATATCACCTTGGGCCCCACACCCAATCCGTGGTGTTTCAAAGGACAGATGCGTTCACATTACGGTTAGATACACACCACTTGTAATTATGAATGTGAACTGTAACGACTGTCAAATCTGATTTGAACAAAAATCTGAATTGTGCAAAGAGGCTTGTAATGTGAACGTAGCCTTACACATTTACTGTTAAGGATTTCGATTTGTTCATTTGAAAACACAACAGGGAAAACAGGGTTGGTTTTAGTGTTCTTTACTGTCAAAACACAAAATGAGTACAACCAAGTACAGAGCCGAGTCTCAGCACATCTGTGGGCCCTTGAGCTATTTTTTTTCTGTATCTTTTCACTGCCTTCATCTAAACCCTTTCACATTTATCTTTAGTTCAATTTGTTAAACTTTATTGCAAATTGTCTCAGGGCTGAATCAGGGTACTTTTCATTACATGTTATACTTGTATAACTGTGTATGTGACAAATAAAGAATCTTGAATCTTGACTCTGACATACAATGTGTTGTGTTCCACTGTGTAGTCTTATTTGAGTCTTGGACTGGCAACCTCATCTGCTATTGTATAGACATAAGCATTTCTGCAGTTATTGTGCTCCTGTGGAAGAATCCCACACTGGCCTTCACTTTCTTCACAGTGGTCTTCATTTCTTTTAGGGCAACTTTCAGTAAAAGTTGATTGTGAGAGCTAGACATGTGCCAAGTCCACTTAAAAGTCTGGACAGCTTTTATTACGCTTGCTGCATTATCACTAACAATAAGTCACTTTGTCATTAACCTTCCATTCTCTGCAACATTTTCTGATGTATGTCTGTCACTGAATTTAGAACAGTCCAGAAGACAGGAGACCACTTTGTATTCTTCAATAAAGTGGCAAATAACTGACATGATCATGAGGTAATTCGAGATAATAACAACAATAGATGCTTTATTGATCCCTGTGGGGAAATTGTCTTTATGCCTCCTTCAACTTGCTCTTTGCGGAGTAAGCATCATCACCCACCTTCACTCTTAGACCAGGAAGCCCTTTTCAGTCCAGGCAGGCGACCATCACGTGAGTCTTGAGAAAGTGCCGGGCGATATGCACTCTATCCCACGGCTGAGCTAGTGTCAGTGCTGAGTTCTCCCCCTTCCTTAAAACTAAATTGGGCGCTGTCTAAGACGACTGCGTGCATGTGGGCATGGAATGAGCTGGCCAGGCTTACCCCTCCCCTCAGGCAGTGCGCTCTTGGTTCTTCAATTCTTATCTGAATGGAGTGAGACTGCTTGCAGCTGCAAAACACAGCTGCATAAGACTCACTTTCCATTTTCCTCTGAAAAACAAGACAAGTGTCCTTGAACAAGGAAAGCATCCCAGAACAAGAATTTTTTAAGCCAAGATAAGTGTCCCACAAACAAGTTATACAAGTGATTTTAGAAAAACATGTTGCACAACTTGTCCTTGGCACAATGATATGGGTGAATCATGGACATATTAGAGGACACATTAGAATCTTGGGTTGGTTAGTCGATATACGAACAGAATCATTCAATACCTCAATCACCTCATATGAATATCTGTTAGGTGGAGTCAGAGTTGTTCCTAACTGTGAGTACACAACTTCACAGAATATTACAGTAATAGGAGGACAGTGAACAACTCATTAATTCTATGCTATGTGGGCGACGTAATCACCCGCAAATTCATTCTCTTAAGGAAGCTTTTGACAATTCCTCATCAATCGTCTTGCAGGGGTCGAAGCCTTTGAAATAAACAGCCTCATGGAGGTCTGGATCTCTCTGTGATGACCCTGATGATTGAGATGTACTAGGAGGAGACATCAAAGTAACAGATGTGGAGGTGCCAGCTTCTTCTCCAAGTTCTGTAGCAGCAGCAGACCCACCAGTTTGTTGGTACTCCAACTATACAGTTGCATACGTAGTTTTTAAGTTCCTGTGGAGACTATGAGTTGACCTTCCTCTGTATGAAATTTTAAACATAACAGTGTTGTAAGCTTATGTTGCCCAAGCTGTTAAAATGTGTCCAAATGATGCTTCGTTTTGGACATGCACTCGTTATGTTGTTACTGGGCAATTTTGTCAATAAACCACAACTGGTCAGATCTGGAAGCCAGCTTTTATTGTTCACTTGGAAGAGCTGACTCAAAAAGCTAACTCGTTAGCAAACACATCACTACTCCAGGCCCCCTGTCAACCTGACTCGTATAATCAGTTACAAGGTGATTTGAAAAGACACAGATGACTTTTTCACACATACCTCACACAATAACAAATATTTAAAAAGGTGAAGTGATTAGTTATTATTGACATACCACAACAACAAAATGTGTCCTTTGCATTTACCCCCTATGTGACATAGCAAGGGACAGCTAATTCAGTGCCCAAGGAGCAGTACTTCACTCAGAGTACCTTGCAGATGAGGGATTCAAACCAGCAATTTTGCAATTACAAGTGCAATACCCAAACCATTACCCCACCACCACTCCAACAAAGTTCTCACTAAAGAATGATGGGATGTTTCACTTTTTGTTTACCTGATCTCTTCATCATTTGTAAGAACCTCCCTGTCTAGTATAAAGATATTGCACTGTACGCAGATTGGTAGACCTAGTTCACTGCCAAGTGTCAAATGACAAAACCCGAAACAGGGTATAAATCTCGGCGCTTCTCTAGTTCGACGCCCCGGGCGCACTGACGTCACCGACACGTCGCGGGGAATTCAGAGCTACGCTGATACCGTACGGCAGAGTGGGCGGGAGGGCCGCGCTTACGCCCTTCGATATATGTGAATAGCTTTGATAACATACGGATTGCGCGCTGGGCTCCGGGAGACGCCGCTAGGGAGTCTCTCTGATAGAAAACGTCGTTTGAGCCTCTAGTCGTTATTGAAAGTGAAACAATGGCCGCAGTGTTGGGGGCATTTTCTATCGGCAGCTGGGTAAGACGAAGTTTACCTCCTAATTACGATGAGAGCCGATTAAAAATCTGACGTAATCATGGCGTGTTGTGTGTCTGAGGGATTTATGGCGTTGACGGGCGCTCGTACTTCAGTAATCCCGTTAGATGACGGCGTCCACTACCTGCTCAACAGGTTTTCATAAATATAGCGGGAAACTTCGCGTAGGTCACTGCCAGCGGCACAGCGGATAATTAACAATGCGGGCAGCGTTGTTGAGTGGTCAGGTTTTATGTGTAATGAGCACCGGGGAATGTTTGCCTGAAAACGAAAGGTAACCGGCACTTTGGAGGGAGAACCTAAACTTAACTTGGGTGGGTCCCGGTGGCACTGTGCCGAGCCCGGGGTTATTCCGAATTACAATGACCTAAAACACACATTTTCTTAAAAAGAGAGTGAGAGAGAACTCGCGACACTGACGACAAGACCTAGTGACATGCCTTTAATGTGTAGCTGAAAACGTAACGTTCATAATACGTTTTCTCTGTGTGGTAATGAAATGATTTTAGTACTAATAAATAACTTCAAAAATATTTGTTTACTAACTTAATCAGTATTACATTTCAGTCGAGCTTCGCCAAATGATGCGAACACAATTGTTACAATTAAAGAAAAATACCTGACCCAAAAAGTTGCATGTGACACGTTTGTGTTCTTGTTGTGGAAGTCCTTTTTTAGCATTGACACCAATCTTGATGGCGACCTGGTGAAGGTGGTTAACCTCAAACACCGCTGTAACAAAGAGTGAGCTATTGGCTGTGAGTTTTCGGAGTTCTTTTCTTTTCTTTCCTTTCTTTTTTAAATAAATAACGTTTTAATAACGAGCCACTGGTTGGTCAATTACCTGAAAATTAAGATAATCTGTGTTTAGAGGACGTAAGCTGTTTCCTGCTTTCATTTAATTTTGATGACCACGTCTTGAAAGATTATTAGATGGTTATTGTATTAGTTTAAAATATGATTGTAACATATTTTCTCCCATTCGACTCGATACAGAGCAATAACACTTCATAAATGCACAGTTCACTTTATTGGAGAGCAACACTTTGCAAATTGCACCTTATTCCACTATACTGCCATTTCTTTAAAATTCATGTAGCCGTATCTTCCATTTCACATGTTTCTACTATTTCGTTTATTCCATAAATGCACACCTCTCCAGTACCTAATCATATGTGTAATTAAAAAATTTGTGAGTGCTTTTGTTGAGTTTTGTGCTATCTAATCCTATTTAATTTTATGTTACTCACTGGATAGTGTGATTAAGAATTCCTATGTATTGATGGTACAAATTGCAAGTAAATCTTGAGTCATTTGACATGTTGCTTGCTGTCATGATGCAACACCCTGGGCTGTGCAGAGCGTGCCTCCACTTCATCCTGATGAATGCTTTCATTTTACTTAGTAATACAAAAACGTCTTTGATCGGCCTATCAAAATATGCTGCAAATGTGCTGTTTTCAGGAATACTGTCCACCTCGCATGGATTAATCAGTCTGACCATGGCCAATTGACCTTGTCCATCCTACTGCAAACAGTAGAAGTTGTGTACAATCTCCATTGACAGTGGTTTATATAATTATTTGTGTTACAAATATAGTTGCCACTCGAGATTAAGAAATGTCACGATTCATTAATGATGAACAAACATGAGATCAGTATTTCACTTGTGTTATTCATTACTTGATCCTTAGTAGTTCCTTCAATAGTTAACAAAGGTTTACAAAATTAACAGATATAGTAACTGCTTGGGATGAAATATGCATCATGATTCATTAATGATAAATAAATATGAGATCAGTATTTCAGTTGTTTTATTGATGACTTGTTCCTTCAGTAGCTCAAACATTTACAGAATTAACAGATATAACAAATATAGTAACTGCTTGAGATCAAACATGCGTCGCGATTTATTAAAGATGAAGTAATATGAGATCAGTATATAACTAAGACTTAGTTTGTGTTTAATACATAAGTAATAGTATACTAAGGCTAAATGATTTGGGAAAATATTGTAATTTTTCTGACAGATATTGTGATTTGATTTGTGATATTATTTTTTAAAAGTCAAACTTCAGTTCAATATTCAGTGTGTAATATATTTAAAATGTGACACAGCATTACCACAGGAGATAGACCAGTCAATATTTTGATGCTATGTTCTAATGCAAGAATGAGAACTTAAAGGTTGCTTTCAATATGTATTTATTGCTTAACAGAGAACAATCAAACAATAAACAATCTTCACAAAAGTTGTTACTGTTAAATAAACTAATAATAATACAAATAAAACAATTCCAGTAAGCAAAGAAAAATAGGTATCCTGCAGAAACGCTACCTGGACCCCTTATAATTAGAAATGCACCGATTGCGATTTACTTAGCCGATGCCGATTTCTGTTTTTTTTTGCAAGTGTGATAGCAATTTTTGCCGACTCTGATTTTGTTTCTAAAAACTATAATTTAGGGCATATTTAAACAAAAATCTGATTTTCTTCAATGCAAAATTTTATTTTCATAATGGAAGTAATTGTTAAACTTTACAGTTTCCCCCAAACTGCACTTTACAATTGCAAGTTACAAGATGTTCTCTCACTTAAGTCTCAAAATAAAGTGCTCTGTGACTGGAAGGAAGTACAAATAACAATTAACTGCAAATGAGCTGCTGTACACCCAACTCTATCCGACATATTTTATTTTACCAAACAAGAGCAGGTGCAACAGATTTGAATAACAAAACAAATGTTACTTATATCATTTCTAGTATGTTTAAAATCACCAGATATCATGACATTGACCTTTTTTTACTTTTAAAATAAAAAAGTCCATTTGTTACAGATATCCAAATAAAACTATACTGTACTCTTCCAAATAATGCAGGATAATATTAATACCAACATTGCATGTTATGCACATACAATTCTAACATCACTCATAAGATAGATTAAGATCAGGGCCAGTATGCATAAAACTTCTCAGAGTAAAATTTCACTCTTAAATGTTCTAAGAGTGACGTGATTTTGCTCCTACTCCCAGACTTAAGAATAAGTGGCATGCATAAACATTCTTAAGTGTTAAGAGTAGGTCTCAGCTCCTAAATGATTTAAGAGAGCTGGAGAGGACTCCTAAACCAGTTAGGAGTTGCACGATGGCGGCAGCACTACGCGCACAAAGACGGAGACCGCGCACTATCCGTGAAAGAAAGGGCGTACTGCAGACGTACGACAATAATGAATTGGTAAAAAGGTACAGGCTCGATCATGAGGGCATTCTTTTTGTTACCAACCTAATTAGGAACCGGATACAATCTCCTGCGTCACCTAAAAAAGCACTTACAGTTGAACTGAAGGTGATAATGATGCTACGTTTTTGGCAACTGGAAAAATATAATAGTAATAATTATTATTATTATCATCATGTATTATAGCGAGGGTCATAAGAGCAATATAAGTAATTACACAAACCTGTAGCTTGCATGCTTGCTTTATAAACTGTGATTTCCTTTCGCGAAGTCTATAAAACATTGTACCACTTTTTTTCACATTCCTCTACTGAACGCCTTGTCCGAGGTGACGCAGCATTTACGGAGCTTGCAATAGCCCCCTAAGCTTTTTTTGTCCGTGCTTGTAACAGCTGGGCCAAACTTCCATTTAAGCACCAACTGTGCCAAAAGAACCGTTTTGTTTGTTGTCCAGTTTGGTTTTCTTTTAGAATTCAATGTCTTGCTATGAGTTTTGCGTTTGACCCATAATTTATACAACATGTGCATCTATTAGTGGAAATTGATTGGTGGTGTGCTAGGTAGATTTTCGTACAACCAATTAAAGGTATAATCACAGAAAGGTATGTTGTATAAAGCTGTACATTAACGGTTTAACGTCACTAATATATTCACCGTGCAGCTTATCTATTGGTTGAACTCAGTATTTGGGGCGGGATTTTATTTGTACTCCTCTTTTCAAAACACTTAAATGCTGGCTCCGTCAGCACTTAGGAATTGGGCTTAGACTTTGCTGAAAGTTACTTTTAGCGGCTTTATACAATGCTCTTAGGTACTACTTTTTGCTAAGATTTTTTTTAACTCTTAAGTCCAAGTGTACGACCATTCTTAAGACCATTCTTAGGAAGTTTTATGCATATCGGCCCAGGCTTTTTCATACCTTCATACTGTACGGACATTATAGCACAGGGGCTTAAAGTTTTGCTATAGCATTTTTACTCTTTCATAGGACAAAACCTTAGCTAGCGTTGCAATTTTAATGATTATTCCTTTTCAACATCATGTAGTATATGTTTAATAATCAGTTTAAAGTTTACCTCCGATGTTTCACCACGTTTTCATGGTGGTTCCCCCACGGTTTTTTTTGGCTTTACATGATCTTACAATTTGCAAGCTTCATGTCGTCTTCACTCACAGTGAAGAACTTCCACGCTAACGGCATGTTAGCATGTGGCTATGAGTGTGCACATGGTGTGAGAGGCTATTGCCTGCGCTGCTGTGTGAATGACGTGTAGTACATGTGTATAACGGACTCGTTCAGTATCGGAAATACATGAGACTGATTGGCCGGTTTCCAGTCTGGGCCGAGCACGCTGAAAATCGGCTAATTCCGGTCCCTGGCTGATCGATAAGTGCATCTCTATTAATAATATCTATTAATAATAATCTTTCTGTAAACAATCTCTGTACATGAAATAGATAGGTAATTCACTTAACTCAGCAGCGGAGTCAATATTTTTTCGCACCGAGAAATTGAATGTAATGATTTCCTTGGGTTTCACATGTTTGTGGGCGAATACTCGGTCACCTTGGGCCACTTCTGTTTGGTGAGCATGACTGGCATGTTAGCGGCACGGCACTTCTGATTGGTAATAATGACTCGCACAAGGACAACAGCATGAATCTGTAAAACTATTCTCACAACAGTTTTAAACCCTTTAAAATCTGGGTCAGACGTTCTGTATAATGCATATCCTAAATCGCAACCTTTGCGTGTTAAGTCGCTATCTCTATTTGAAATCAATAAATCATCCAGCCTTACATAATACCATATTTGTTTGTGCCCATCAAGGTAAGTGTTACCGCAATTGTAAATATAAATGGAAAATGCACCGGTAAATGACCTTCAAATGTGTCGTGTTTTTGGGGTAGGCCTTAAATGTGTACTGACTGGGTTTTTAAAAACTACTGATTTAAGTAGAGTGCAATGAACCAAAGGAATGAGATGATTTGATTGCTATCCCTCTTTCACCTGCTTATGTAGATTCCCTGCCTGTGTGGTGGAGCCATGTGCATTCAGTGTGCATGCTGTCCCATCAGTCGCAACTCTACAGTGACACGCATCATCTACGCCTTCATCTTGCTGCTGGGGACCCTCGTATGCTGTGTAATGCTTTCACCGGGAGTTGAGCACCAGCTGAAGAAGGTATGCATGCTGCTTCAGAGTACGACCAGAGCTTAATACGCCCCACAATCTGTAGGACTTTCTTGCCCATGTTTTGGGTTTGGTGGCAAGGTTGGAGGCCCACACAGTATACCCTTTATGTATGGTTGCCTCACTGTGGATGTGTGCATGACCGCTGTGTCTGTCCTCTTCCAGATTCCCAGCTTCTGTGAAGGAGGGGCTGGTTCCTCTATACCTGGCCTCTACGGCCATGTCAGTTGTGAGATTTTTGTGGGTTACAAGGCTGTCTACCGCATCTGCTTTGGATTGGCTGTATTCTTCTTGGTCTTCTCTATCTTCATGTTCAAAGTCAAGAGCAGTCGAGACCCACGGGCAGCTATCCAGAATGGGTAAAATGTTAAGAATTCACTTAATGTCATTTCCGTTACATTTTACTTTTCTCCAACGCGATATACAAGGAATAAAAGATTGGGAGCCAGTATTCCTGGAGCTCAGGAGCCCATTGGTGATATGATACTCTGCCAGCCACAGGATTCGAGCCAGTGATCTTCTGGAGATGGACACAGATCCCTAACCCTCTAAGCAATACTTTAAAGCTAACATCAAGATTTCAGGGCTAGTACAAATTCTTAACTGTGCTTTGTTAGTAGAAATGATGACTCTCTTGGTTGTTTTCTCAGAATTAGAATTTGGTGATCAGTGGTCATTGTTAACACACCACAACGAAATGTGTCCTCTGCATTTAACCCATATGTGACTTCCGTGACAAAGCAGAGGGGAGCTAATTCAGCGCCCGGGGAGCAGTACCTTGCTCAGGGTTCCTCAGTGGTGCCTTGCTGGTTGGGGATTCAAACCAGCAATCTTTCAATTACAAGTACGCTTCCCTAACCATCAAGCCACCACTGCCCACAAATGATATTCAATACTTTATTGATCCCTGTGGGGAAATTGTCTTTACCCATAGCAGCATCCAGGGTGCTGGGGGTTAAGGGCCTTGCTCAAGGACCTGCAGATGTGCTGAGGCTGGCTTTGAACTAGTGACCTTCTGATTACAGGCACACAGGCTTAGCCCACTGAGCCACACACTCAGGGAAGTTTTGCACAAATTCAACAAGTCATTTGATCATCATACTTAGAGAGAGCATATATTTAAACATTGCCAGATTGTGACTGTGGCACATGATATTAATAACAATAATAAAAGTGATAAAATGCACAGTATACTGATTTATCTCAAAGGTTACTGAGGAACTCTGAAGAACTAACTATAAAATGTCATTTTTCATTTGCAGGTTTTGGTTTTTCAAGGTTGCTGCCATCATTGCTGTGACAGTTGGTGCCTTTTACATCCCGGATGGACCCTTCACCCGGTGTAAGGCTTCAACCTGCACATTTTATCTGATTTCACATGAAATGAAAAGCCTCCCATCTCATGTTAACATCCTTCCCTCTCTGTGAAGTTTGGTTTACTTCAGGAGTCATCGGTGCTTCCATTTTCATCTTGATCCAACTGATCTTCCTGGTTGATTTCGCCCACTCTTTGAACGAGTCCTGGATGGGCAAGAAAGAAGAAGGGAACTCCAGAGGCTGGTTTGCAGGTGAGGCCTCTTGCTTCTCAGCAGGGGAGATGTCACCTCATTGGTCAGATGGGATCACTGGGTGGTAGAGACTCCAGCTCCCATCTCTCTCCCTGTCTCTGGTCGGTTTCAGCCTTGTGCTTGGTGACTGGTGTCAGCTACGCCTTGTTTGTCACCGCCGTCGTCCTGCTCTACGTGTTCTACACCCAGTCTGAAGGTTGCAGGCTGAACGTGTTCTTCATCACCTTCAATGTCCTCCTGTGCATCGTTGGCTCCATCATTTCAGTCCTGAATAAGGTGCAGGTGAGTGTGAGCTTCCTGTGCCGGAATGAACTCCCTCACTGTGGATGATTGAGTGACGTTTTGGGAATGGGTTGTGGAATCGATCTGAAAGCTCATCAGTGATGATATGGGGATTTATTACTCATCAGACTTGCGTTGTGATTATCTAGTGGCTAAGCTAAAGTATTCCCAGACACCACTTATTGATTAAGTACAGTTGTGAAAGCTGTGATGCTTCTGAACAAGTCATCTTAATACTCCGTTTCTGAGAAAGCACTCAGGTTAGGGCTGCACGATTTGGGGAAAATATCGAATCGCGATTTTTCTGACAGAAATTACGATTTGATTTGCGATTTAATTTTTTTTATGTCAAGCTTCAGTTCAATATTCAGTGTGTAGTAATTTTAAAACATATGACGCAGCATGAGATACCATCAGTATTAACTGGTCTATATTCTAATGCAGGGATGAGAATTTAAAGATGTGATGTGTCAAGATAAATAAAGTAATAATGAGAACAATTGCAGCAAAAAGAAAAATAGCGATCTTATGTTAAAGCAAGACTTTTATTTTATTACTGTTGTGGGATTAATCTTTGGAAACACTTAAATTTAATAAGCACAAAAACATATGACATAAACACAACTGTATTGTGGGTTTTACGGCTTTTTTGGAGGTCACCGACTCCGCTTGTGTGAGAATTACTGACTGTCTCATTGTTGTTTTCATGGGTTAGCGGTATACTAATGCTATTGCCTATTAACAAAAACCAAAGGTATGATACGCTGAAGTATATTGCAGCTGGTGTTTAAAAGGAGCTTTCTGAAACAATCTCGTACCATGAAATGGGAAAGCAATTCACCTATAGCTCAGTAGCGGAATCAGTATTTTTCCGCACCGCAAATGCAACATTTTCCTTGGGTTTCACGTTTTTGCTGTTTGTGGGCCTATACGCCTTCTTGGGCCACTTCTGATTGGTGAGCATGACTGGCATGCGAGAAGCACGACGCTTGTGATTGGTGAGAATGACTGTCACACAGGGAGCACGGCATGAATTTGTAAAACTATTCTCACAACAGTTTTAAACCCTGGGTCCGACATGCTGTATAATGTATATCCTAAATCGCAATTTTTGCGATTTGCTAATCACGTTGTTTCAAATCGCGATTTCGATTTGAAATCGATAAATCGTCCAGCCCTAACTCAGGTGTAGGCATGCGCATTGCTAGCCTACGAGCCTCTGTGGTCAGAGCAAACCAGAAATGCAAGCTGTAGAATTGATATTACAGAATATCAGTATTTAAACCATTTTATACATGATAGATACAATACATTCTGTACTTTTGATACCATTGAGGGAGGTGGTATGCAAAAATATCACTGATAGATTGAAAGGCTACAGATCTCAGTTTCTGTGGCTCAACTGGTAGAGCATTTGACTGGTAACTAGAGTTGCTGATTTGAGCCCAGTCCCTTTCTGCTCTCATGAAATTCAGAAGTGCATGTTACATCAGACTTTCAGTGAATGCATATTAAAATAGCAGTATTAGGTATTGTTAAAAGACATTTATGAATGGGACTGGGGGGCGCGCATTTATGGGGGCATGCTCTGCTTGGGTCATTTTCACCATTTTGATTATACCAACTGTAGGAAAATTCCAATAGGAAAATTGGAAAATGACTCGTTTTGCATTTATTTTTGTCAGAAAATGCCTTGTATTCCATTTGAGTGGAGGTGGGTTGGGTTATACGGGTGTGCTATCTGTCATTGGCCAGTTACATCACAAAGACCACTCCTCCCACCTGATTGTTACAGAGTACACACACAGGGGCTATTTACAGTTTTCCCAGCAGGCTCCTGAGCTGTTACTGTGCTCCGCCTAGTGGAGCCATTTCACTGGTGCTACAATATGCTGTATGAGAAATATGCTAAATCAAGTGAAACGTTTTATGGCCAAGGGGCAAGACAACGTTTCTTCTGAAGTATGATTGAAACATCATCTTGGTTCAGACTTATTTATCCATAAATAATTTACGACGTTCTGGTGTACAGCTTTAACAGAAATGCCGAGGTACCCTTTGCAGTGAAGGGAGACCCGAAACTCTTATTCTGTAGCGATCTCGCGGACCGTGGTCTTTGCGATGTACCTGGCCATTAACAGACAGCACCCATATAACCCAAGTCAAACGGAATACGAGCCACTTTCTGTTTTCTTTAGACCAACACAAATAAAGGCAAAACCAGCCATTTTACAGTTTTCTCTTTACGATTAGTCTAGTCAGATTGGTGAAAACTGAGCAGTTTTTCGCTTTTTGTACTTTCTGTCTTAAATTGAAAAAGGAATTATACTCACATACACAGACCAACACCCAGATTTCTTTATGGGCGAATTTTAATTAAAATTTCATTGTTTGTGTGTGCACTTCACCTTCAGTAGTCTAGCTGTCTTGTTTACTATCACTGACGGTGAATGGACACACTGAAATTGTTAATATCTACGTTTGAAAACACATATGAAAATTACAGTGTGCATTGTTCCTTATAGTTTAATGCATAAAGCACACTTGCCTGGACATGTCTGTATCATTTAAGTTTATACTTATTAGTCCATTAATTATATCAGTTGTACTTCAAATAGACAGTACAGTTATTAGTAACAGAAAAGTATTGCGAGGGAATGCAAAACTATTACAAGAGAAGTCAAAACTGTTTAGAAAAATATTTTCCCATTCAGACCTCTTAGGGGCTCCAAATACTGCAGCTGATCTAGTATGAGAGAAAAATCCAAATGTGATACAACAGTAGTGAATGTTGTGTATATGTATAATCTCCTAGCAATAGAGGAATGCACTAGGCAAGTAGGAACCATGTGTTCAAGGTCGGATGATAGCATCAGGCCCTAGTCAAGAAACATACAGCAGAACTCAAGGTAACTAAGTAACAGGTGGCACCATAAGGAGGGACCCTCAGAGCAAAGCTGAGTTTGTTGCCAAAAAAGGGGCGTAAAACAAGGGATAAAAAGAATTGTAAGAAGAGGCTCGGGGGAGAACTCCTGAGGTATCTCCCCGGGCCCGTGCTGTAAGATACCACAATAAACTGAAGGCTGAAAAGACTTTACGCTGTCCTGAGTCCTACATCGTGAAATTTCCATGACACTGTAGAGAGAAAAAAATCTCAAATACATCACTATCCACAAATATGTATTTTTATTTGTGTTGTATAAAATCATATCCACAAAAATACAGAGCAATTTGTACACGTGAAAAGGGTTTTGCATATTTGTGGATCACTTCCCATCTATTTGTGGATAGCATTACATTTGTGATCTCGCTCCTTTTTATTTGTGGATTTTTGTCCAATTCCTACCGCATCTCATCTGTAGAAAAAAATCCATAAATAAGAGGTGCAGCCATAATATATGTTATTATCGGGGTATGAGTTGATTTATATTGGGATATGAGGTTTTGGTTTCATAAGGTTCTATTTATGTAATCTTCCATATAGATAATACATTGTGCTGTCCACTGCTGTCTTATTTCCTATATTCCGAATGGTGAGACTTGTTCTTTTTCATTGCCATATCTTCCGGTCACATTTTCTCCCCGACCAGGGAACATCAGAGCGTAGTTGTAGATAAATTATAGAATTTGCACGTCAGAAATTTTTCATTACTGCTGAAATAATCCTTCCTTATCTCTTTATTTTGTAATAAATTTAGCATGTGTGGGTGTTGTCATCATCAATCATTTCAAGTTTTATGGAATGTGTTATTTGGCCAAAAAACAATTTATTGGTATTACCCTATGGAATGTTTAAATGGGGGTGAGAAGGTGTAGTGAGTGTGTGAACTGCAGAACAAAGTAAACCTGACTGACACTTAATTTTTCTACTTGCCTGGATTATTCTGCATCTCTGTCCAGCTAGTAAAGGAACTTGAAGTTTAGATTGTGCGTGTACAGTTTTTCATATAATATTCTAATGTTGTTTGTGTGTCTGTGCAGGAATTTAATCCCCATTCCGGCCTGCTGCAGTCCTCCATAATTTCCCTGTACACCATTTACCTGACCTGGTCTGCTATCACCAACGAGCCTGGTGAGAACATTGCCCTATGTGAAGCAGCATGTGTAAACAAGTACTTTCCTGCATGACAGAGCTGTCGGTAATGAAAGACCTCAGGACAGGGGTCCAGAAGCAGCCTTCTGGTAGCAAATTATGTTGAACTGTTGTTCAGTGTCATTGTACTGATAGTATTAGGGTGTAAACTATAAATTATTTTGGTAATTTACATACTGGAAAGTAAAACAGTAATTCTGCTTAATTCATTATGGGGTACATCCTGTGCTAATGCAGGTTTTTATTTCTCTAGTTTATTTCACCTGGCAGAAGGAACTGCATTTGTGATGATATTTTCATTAGACCGTCATTTCTAAAGGTGGCCTGTCAGTGTTACTATAACAGTGATAGTGAAGCAGCTGATAGCTAATGTAAATAAACCATTTAAAAAATATTAATAGTGATATTTTATAGTGGGGAAATTCTCTCTTTGCCTACCCTAACTCCGACCCTGCCTGGTGCACTGATGTTGCGCTTTACTTTTCGTATACCTGGTGAAGCATGATGGTCTCATGTCAGCTGGGTGGCGATAGAATGGGCCTGGAGAATTGCTAGGGTAAAATTCCAGTATTAAAAACACGCAACAAGTGAAAAGCATGCAGTAAGTGCACAATGCTTGACTGAAACTCAGTTTTATCCAGTTGTGGTAAAAGTGACAAACATCCTTGTGCCCTATTTAGGATGGCCCTAACCTCATACCTATACCTCACCCTCCTACCCCCCAGATCGTAATTGCAATCCTGGTCTGCTCAGCATCTTGCAGCTGACTGCAGAACCCACGCTTTCACCCTTGGCTGTGGAAAACCAGACAGAAGTTATGCTGTTTAGCACTGAGGTGCCCATCCCCTCCACCCCGTACCTGCCATGGTGGGACGCCCAGAGCATCGTGGGACTCTTCATTTTTGTCGTCTGCATTCTTTTCTCGAGGTAAGATAGACCACCTTCGTGGAAGCAAAGAGCGGATGTGGCCACGGTGCCCTTTTCCCGTCACCAAGCCATATCTGTCTCCCACAGTAGCGTGTTTGTGGTTTGTCATGCGTAAACAACAATAACCTCGCGATAGCGTGGCATCCCCGTGGCACGAACAAGCGACTTCTTTTCTCATGATCATCTCGGAAGTGAGAACCTGTTCTCAAATTAATCAGGAGCAGTGGAATTGGGGGTAACGTGTAGCTCAGCAGGTGAGTATGCTGTGCTGTGATCAGAAGGTCATATCCCAGAGTTCGCAGAGTGATGTCACTCTTCAGCCCCTGAATAGAGCCCTTAACCGCAGTTGTTCCAGGGGCTGTCTAACGCTGCCTTCTACCTTTTTGTATGTTTCTTTGGATAAAAAAAAACACAAGAAATAAATATAATGTAAATTTCTGTCAGGAGCATAACCATTCAGGAGTAAAAAATATAATTTGACAGGATACTGAAAAGTAAGAGGTGGCTCATGAGAATAGGAGGGAATGTCACTGTCCTGACCCATAACTCTACCTCATGGCGTCCGACAGCATCCGGTCCTCCAGCACCAGCCAGGTGAACAAGCTGACCCTGTCTTCCAATGACACGGTCATCCTGGATGACTGTGCGGCGAGCACCCCCGATGAGGCGGATGAGTCCAGCGGGCCCAGGCGCTTTAAGGATAACGAGACGGACACCATCCAGTACAATTACTCGGTCTTTCATTTAATGCTCTTTCTGGCCTCGCTCTACATAATGATGACATTGACAAACTGGTACAGGTCAGTAGATAAGTCTGTGCCCGTCCGTCTGTGGATTGCATACTTGTGAAATCATAAGGTCTTAGTATCATATATACATATTATTCTTTGAATTGGTTCAGTGGGCTAAGCCTCTGTGCCTGTGATCGGAAGGTTGTCGGTTCAAGCTTGGCCTCGGCACATCCGTGGGCCCTTCAGCAAGGTCCTTAACTTCCTGGGTGTTGCTACAGGTGGCTGCCCTTTGCTTCCAAGCTTGGTATCACCTACAGAGAGCAAGATGGGGTAGATGAAAAGCGAATTTCCCCACGGGGATCAATAAAGTTTAATTATTATAATCCTCATTAAAATGTAATCGCTTCCAAAAAGGGGGGTTGAAATGCAAGATGTTTCAGTGGTATAAATATCTAAGATCTGATGATCATCTCAGTATGATTTTAATTTTGCTGTTACTGCTGGTAATATTTTAGAGGACTGTTGTGATACAGTGAACAAGTCAGTTGTGCTATTCATCAATGTTAGTCTTTCATCTTCACGCTTGTAAACGCATCTCTGGAGTAGCACTGTGACGATATCCATTTTTGTCCCGTTTCCGTTTTTTGTGCGTTTCCAGCCCCGACGCACATTACAACACCATGAAGAGCAAGTGGCCAGTCGTCTGGGTGAAGATGGCGTCCAGCTGGGTTTGCATAGCCCTCTACCTGTGGACGGTCGTGGCTCCATTGGTGCTCAGAAATCGAGACTTTAATTAAAGCCCGTGGTGCCCCACTCTGCCCACCGCCACCATCTCAGCAGCCAGAGCTTTCAAACTTCACACTAACCAGATGCTAGTAATTTGACTTTTCTTTAATGAATGCTGTTTGACTACATGACAATGGGACCATTTCAAATGTTTTGTAAGTAACCTGGCATCCGGTCCAGGGTATATACTCCTCCCATGTGCCCCGTTCTGCCTAGGATAGGGTCCAGGATGGATGCGTGCTATTCAGCACCTTTTAATAAACTAAGTAGAGTTATGTTTCAGTCCAAAATAACTGCATAGTACAAGCTCTCGTATCTGCCATTCAAGTAACCGGGACAATTCTAAAATCAATATCAAAATAAAAAATTCACTGTGAGTAATGACACAGTTCTATTAAGAATTTACACTAAACTAAAAATAAGAGTATTGCGCAATACAAATGTCAGTTTCTGCACATACTCACAGATGGTATAATAGTTGTGCCTCTTGTTTTGCAGTTATCTACCTTGTGATTTCTTGTGTGTATCATCCAACAGTGATATTGCAGTGTGCTAAAATAACAGTACAATAATCATTAGTGCTTATTAAAGGATTTAAGTGTGAGAAATGTTACAATTCAGTTTTTCTGGAAAATTCAACTATCCAGCAGTACCTCAGTCCCGACGTTGCTGAATACGAGAGCTTTCACTGTAATTAGACGCCAGACTTGCTGAATGATCTATACAGTTGAACAATGAGGTCCAGGTTTGTTGAACATTCCAAGAGCTTTAATTTGCACTTTCTATGATTCTTGCTCCAGCATTTTGGAATGAGGCACAAAATGATATATGTGTGATTTATATAATGTTCATGTCTTTTTAAAAATTCTATATTTACTTCCAAAAGTTTGCCTAACCATGTACACAGAGTATAGTGTGTGTTGCATGATTCTTTATTCTGAACCCCAAAGTTTGATTTGTTTCATTTAATATACTGAGCGCATTTGACGCATGTTACGATATGTCTGTGCTACTTATTGCCAAGAGTATTTGTGAACTCCTGATTTTTAATGTCTCTCAACTAATAATTTTTAAAGAAAGACAGCCAGGTGCGTGTCTGTCACATTATACCCATTCCCTGTATATGAACTGGTTTCGATATACTAATATGGGTCCAGAGCTGTCCTCTGTCAGTGACGTGTGTCAGCATGTAAGGAGGCGTGCAGTTCTGCAGTATGGACCAGCCCTGCTTTTGTGTATGGAAGGGTGTAATGCATTTCCGAGATCTTAGGGTTAGGGTGACGCTCAGTATTAAAATTGTTCTAAACTAAAGGGTTGCAACCCAAAAGTGTCACAGGACCATTTTCAGTGGGCTGTGGAGTGTGGTTAGAAATGTTTTTTTTCTTGACAGTTTTTACTGCCGCAACATCCCTTCCAGTTCAGCTAATTTTACCACTAGGGCTGCCCTCCCTGAAGTTAGACTATATATGTGTGATTTTTTTCTGTCCTGTTTTTGTTTGATGTTCTATTTACTATTGATGCACTATTTTTTAAAGATAAATTTGGCTTTAAATTAAAAAAATTTGGGTTGTAAGTTGAACAGGGAAAAATGTAACGTCATGAACAGCCCTCTGCACTTTCCTCTAGTTAATTTGTTGGTCTGCATCCATGTTTAATCTTTCAGTCAATGCTTTATGACTTGATGTGTTCTTCATGCACTTTGAACTCCTGATGTACAACCAAAAATAAGTACTCAATCATTTGATTTATACCAATCTTTGTATATTTATAAATTATGTATTCTGATTGGCTGAACCAATTGTATGCACTATATTTAACTGCTGTCAACTTTAGTCTTTGTCCTGAATGTTTAAATGATCTGCTTTCAGCTGGTTTCAAAACTGCCACTATGCTACATTTTTGTTGCCAACTTTAACTGACATTCCTGGCAATAAACTCATTGTAACATCATATTTGATGTATCTGAGTTGTCTAAAGTAATTTAAACACTAATGGCCTATGGTTACATGGTATAATTTTAGCTTTCATCTGAGAGGATACTGTCATTTTTCATTCCTATGTAGTTTCATGTAGCAACACTAAATGTTCGGCTACTTTTTGCTGAGTGTCTATTAGCATCTGTGCCTAAAGAAGGGGAACTATATACTCAGTATTTTGTGTCAGAACTTCTGGGTTAGGATGAGTAAGAACTGAATATGACTGGAAAGGCCAGAAGTCACATTTTACTGGCCATGGAGATGCGGTTTGAAAAATGCTCAATTTGTTGTTTGTGGTTTCTGTGTGGACCGCTGTAATTCAGTTTTGCAGGAATAATAGTAGACTTTTTTCATTTGAGGCAGTTGGGATACCTTAAAATTTCTCAAAAAATTCATACAATTCCAGTGTGGTAAAGTATCATTATTTCTTAATGCAATAAGGTAAAAAAAAAAAAAAGATTTGAATCAGGACTAAGTGATTGACCCATGCACTTTTAAAAACTAATTTATTTTACAATGCATGCCTGACATGCCATGAGTTATTTACAAGCACCGCCATAGAAATTAGGAGGTAAATCAGGGCCAAGGTGGCTTCCAGTCTGTGAGGAGGCTCAGTGGCTCTCTTGCTTGGTGGGAATGTGCTGGGGTAGAAGTGGAACGTCTTTGTGCAGCATGGTGATATCACCCTGGTTGTACTGCTCGCAGACGGAGGTTGCTAATGGTGATGTGAGGGGTGTTTCGGGAGAGGCTGTAGAACACAGGAAGGGGATTCGCTTACCACAGTGTAGCACATAGTTTTGTCCATTTATGTTGTTGCAATAAACTGGCTTGAAAACCTGCAGACTCGGATCTCTAGGCCTCAAAACCACACAAAACTTAGACAGATCCAGTTTTGGGTTAAAGGTGTTTTCATTTTTAAATTGGAAACTCGGCAGGGTGGTTCTACTCACAGATCAATCTATCACTCAAAAGCATATTGCTGTCCACCACACAGTTATTGCTGAGGCACTCTGGGACTCCATTTTGATGTAGAAGAGGAGAGGCAAAGTGTGTTTCATTCATCAAACCTGAGAATGAATGATAATATTATTGAATCATCTAGGGCAGTCTTGCATTCTTGAATTTAAATATAAAAATGAACAAATTAATTTTTTCAATTTTTTTTCTGGGTAAAAACACTATCTGTCTTACACTACTGCAAATATTCTTATGAACAACTTCTTGCAATCTTTCAAATTGCAATGTCTGACAGGACCAGACTAAAGCTGCATGGTTTTACATCCTAAAACTTTCAACAGTGTCCTCTGCTAGAAATAACTAACAGAAATCCATCTGGATTCTTCAATTTCAATCATGCATGGAAAAAAACGGTATTCTTTTTGTATAGCTGGACGAAGTGATGTACCACTTTCTCAGAAAATGGTGCACTGGTTCTGCTTAAAAACTGAGCATTTCGTTGATAAAGCTTGACCTTCATGATTTCCATGCCTCCTCAGATTGCTCAAAAGATTCATTTAACCTCTTTGTGTGAGGGAGTCAATAAGTCAGTTTCCTGTGTTAAATAATATTAGTACTACTTTGGAATTATACTATGAATTTGCTCCACTGCAACCAACCCTTCATGTATTACAGTCACAGTATATCTTACTTATACAGAGGATCTTATTTCCTCCGCAACCCCCCCCCATCCCCCTCATGTTCCTGTTTTTGTTCTTTGTTTGCACACCATGTCTCACATCCTCACTCTGAGCTACAGGGGTTAGCCAGTCTTAAAGGGACTAAATGTGCGTGTAAACTCCTCAGTCAGGTGCCTGTGCTAGATTATTCCTTAAAATATGAAACTGTAGTGCAAATGTAAGCCTTGTTTATCTTGGCATTAACTACACTGTTCGGTCAACAAAGTGAGCAGCTATTGGACGCAGGATTTTTCCTCAGTGGGCTTCGGGTGGCACGCATGAAGGACAGGCGGTGGGGGTGACCTCACCTCCCAGCAGCATTTCCTGCAGGAGGCTGTCGACCTTGGCCGAGCCAAAGAGCCTGGCGAGCTGGACCTGCTCGATCATGTGCCAGGCCACGCTCTGCAGCACGGGCAGCAGGAGCAGCAGCTCGCCGAATCGGCCGCGAGACTCCTGCTGCCGGTCGGCGACGTAGTCGGCCAGGCCGACCTGCAGCTGGTACCTTAGCTGCTTTATGTGTTGCGCGTCGCTCAGGCCCTTCGCGTCTGCAGAGACCAACATGGGACAATGAACAATGTTTTTTTTAAATACAGCCCCAATTCTGGCCTGTTCGCAAGTTACGTCACAGAAACATTTTACGAATAGTGGGCGTGCAAATAGTTTTGACTGTGTTGGGGTCACGTGCCGTCGGAGTTCATACCTGGGTCAAAGAAAATGATGGCCTTCAGGCAAGCGAACTCACTGTCATCTACCTGGAGTTCCTGGCAAGGCAGGACAAGTTCCTCCAGGATCCTCGTCGCTATCCGGTTGACCTCGAGCTCGGCACAGTTCCGGGTTATGATTTGACCATTTCCTGACGAAAACAGGATGAAATATCGATCGAAATAGAATGGCGAGCCAGCGAGAAGCTGACGGTACAGCAACTTTAGGTCAAAGTACCACCAACTTCCATGAGAAGAACAGATAAAGTGTTCTCACAGAACCATTGAGGTTAGGCATTGGTCGTGTAGTTAGTTAACCTTTCTTTACCTCCTCACAACTTTACATGCATGATTACATAGCAAAATAACCAATCTTCTTTTCATGCTGACCAAAATAATGTCCCCATAATCACAGGATTTAATAAAATAAAATGATAATTTGCCAAAGACTATCCTAATACACCTGTATGATTCTTACCTAGAAGTAGCATGTCTTTGAACTGCATTGACCTCTTGATGACCCCGAGGAGCAGATGTTCCCCAGCATGAGTACGCAGTAGAACAACCTGGGGGGGAGGGAGAGAAAAATAAAGAGAGAGGGGGACAAGGGAAGAAGGGAATGGGAGAGGGAGAAACAGAGGGAGGGAGAGACAAGAGGCTGAAACCTTGTTTCCCTGTGGTTATTCTGCTATAAATGCCACCAATGAGCTGAGCATTTAAGTAAAGGAAAATATTATAATCTTAAACTTATGACCATTTTCTGAGCCAAAAACATGCTATGTAAGTGTGACAAATTGGTTTGGACATTTCTTTAAGCCTCTGTCTCTTCCTGATTTTCCTATAAAGAATTAGTATTTGTATTTTTGTAAAACATGTTAGTTAGGCATCGTCATATAATCTCTAGTATTGAGGTGTGGATATTGCTTGGTCAGACAGCCATGCAAGCTTGTTCACCGCCCACCAGACTGGCTGCTGCACACCGAGCCTCACCTGGTCGTCCAGCGGGAGCTCGCAGAAGGCGGGGATGTACTTGGCCCACTCTACCAGTACAAGCAGCTGTTGTCTCATGGATTCACACACGTCTGGGATGGTCGCGACCTTCCTAATCCGGATGTCCCCGTGTAGGAGCGAATCCGGTACCGATATCTGTGACACAATCCATGATACTCACTTGTATAGCGGTTCACCAAAGTAACAGGAAGTAACACTCCTGGATATGTTAGAATCTGAAATATAACATCAATATTTATTGTGCTACAAAATGGGCCCCCAGTGCTGTGTATCTGCTGGAGTATATGGTATTATTCAACTACTGGTTCTGTTTCTAATCATGACATAAAGCCCTGCATCACAATAATTTTCAAAGCACAAGCAAAATTGCTGTTGTCTTCAAATGTGTTTAATAAGCTAAGGAATCTGGGGCAAAACCCCCATTTATAGTACATGGTCTACTGTCAGGGACACATCCCAGAAAGGCGGGACATAAGAAAGTCAAATACACTTAGCAGATGCTTCTATCAAAAGTGAGGTCCATTTCAGAAGTTCAGGGTCAGCCGGTCCCTGGAGACACTGGGGGTTATGGGTTTTGCTCAAGGGCCCAATGGTAAAATCACTCTACCAGCCATGGGATTTCACCCAGCAACCTTCTGATCACAAGCACAGAGTCTCAACCCACAGAGCCACACACTGCCGCCATCCATCCATCCATCCATTTTCTATAACCGCTTATACACACTCACACAAAGTGTGAAATAAATTTTTATGTGATCCTGAATTGGACAGAAACCGGATGGATGAATAGATAATCATATATAATATATAATCTAGATGATTATAATCTGTTTTTGATACTGGATACTTTCTTCCCTGAGGCTACATGTGATAAATCCAGATCACCCGCATATCTGTACCTGTCTTGAGAGCATGTCTGCCTGTACGAGTGCGCTGATGGGGGGCAGGCTGGCATCCTCATGTCCTGACCTCCGCCTGCTTATTCTGTCTCTCTCGTTCTGCACCGCTGGGTGGGAAACAGGCAGAGGAGTCACGTCATCATCGCTGGAGTCACAGATCGCTGTTCCACTTCTTCAGCACCAAAAACCCACTCCTTGTACGCTTAATACAATCTTAGTTACCCTACCAAACGATTAACAGCACAGCGGTGTCTATTTATAACTCACCAGCTTCGAAAACCTACATCTGAATCTGAGCTGCTTTCTTCACAAAAACCCCCAGCTGTGAATCACTTTTTAGGCAGATAAGGACAGGAGAATAATGGTGAGATAGATTAACATATATTGACCTTCTTTCTTCATTCCTGCTCGAAAGCATTTCTTCAGCCGACAGTATCTGCACTGATTCCTTTTATCTTTATCCACAACACACTGTCTGTCGAACCTAGACAATGAAACATTGCAAACAGGTACAAATTATCAGATGGATGAACCAAAGGTTGAAGTCGATGAGAAAAGAATACCAGTAATGTCGGTATTTGGATCTCAGATTTGGATCACAGATTGTATAAAATCTTGATACTTCTAACAAATCTGTATCTGGAGTGAAATATTATCATGAGTACTGGTTCAGGCAGACATGGGGCATACTTCACTATGGAAGGCACCTTGGAATGGGACACACTTCACTATGGAAGGCACCTTGGAATGGGACACACTTCACTATTGGAGGCACCTTGGAATGGGACACACTTCACTATTGGAGGCACCTTGGAACGGGACACACTTCACTATTGGAGGCACCTTGGAATGGGACACACTTCACTATGGAAGGCACCTTGGAATGGGACACACTTCACTATGGAAGGCACCTTGGAATGACACACTTCAATACTGGAATCCCCTAAGGCATGGGACACATTTAGGAATGGGACCCACTTCAGTATGAAGCACACTTAAGAATGGAACACACTAAAGAAGGGGATACACATTTAGGAAAGTGACACACTTCACTTTGGGATGTATTTTGGAATGAGATGCACGATGCACTTCAGAACTGAATATACATTTAGGAATGGGATACACTTTACCATTTGGTGCACTTTAGAATCGGATGCACATTTAGGAATGACACACTTATGAATGGGATGTATATTCAGGAATGAGACAGTCTCACCTGCACGAGTAGACATGGTTCTTGCGGACGCTGCGGCGGAAGAAGCCCTTGCAGCCATCGCAGCTGGAGGAGCCGTAATGTTTGCCAGTGGCCCGGTCTCCGCAGATGTTACACAGGGCGCCCGGCTCAGGGTAGGTGGCTCCGTGTGCGCTGGCGCTCACCACGGGGGAGTCTGAAATCAGGGGAGGCTATGTGTCAAAATGGATTCTGCTGACAATAGATTAACTCAATGCCTCTGCTCCATAACTGTAGTGTCTGCATGTTCTCCCTAAGTTGTGTTGGTTTCCAATTGGTAGTGTAATCTACTCCCACAGTCGAAAAACATGCAGTTAATTAAATTTAAATGGCTAAAGTAGCCAGGTGTGTGGGGGGGGGTTCCATTATAGGGACTAAATGTTTCCACAATGATCATAAAAACCTGTCATTTTGACGTTGTGGGGACCACTTTTTCAGTCCCCGGGGAAATACAAGCACTAGGGGAAACTCAATTTAATAGATATCTGTGACTGCAATCAAAAAACTAAGAAGTCTTGTATTTTGTTTAGTTATTTATGGTTAAGGTTACGGCTGAGTAGGGGTTAAGGTCGTCATTGTAAGGATTAAGGTTTTTCCCATACAAATGAATGGATGGTCCCGGCAAAGATATAAATACATATGTGTGTATGTGTGTGCGTGTGCGTGTGCGCGCATGTGTGTGTGCATGCACTGCCTGAGATAGGCTCTAGGCCTTCTTGTTGTTGGGAGATGGATGAATGATTATTGTTACTGTAGAACATCTGAAGGGACAAATTGGGACAAGTTGGGACAGTGGTTCTGAAATGTCATATGCTGACCCTGATGGGCCAGATGTACACAGGGTCCATTCCCTCTGAAAACCTAATATCCTCCGTGCTAATATCACATCAGTTAAATCGTTAAACAGGCAAGCAGTTAAGCACTGACTATAATCAAGTACATACACCTGCCTTACAGGGATATTATCAAAGGCAATCCTTACAAATAATCATCTGCAAGCTTGGCAAAAAAAAAATCCTGCATATTGACATACTGTGTACAACGCAAATTCAGAAAAAATAGCAAATTATGGAAATTTTCACATTCACTCCATTAAAACCCCTTTAAACGTAGAAGCACAAGTCACAAAACACGTAGTAAAGGGAAGATTAGTGACTGTGGACAGAAGGACATCGATGATAATCAAACAAACAGGAATTCATCAGGGACACTTGATACAATGATAGGATCTCCTTTCATACAGGAAGTGACAATACTTTCAGGTACTTTTTTACTTTGTGTCTCATCACATTTACCCATATTTAAAACATATTTAAAAGAAAGCACATGTACCTTTCAGCCTAATGCGTTTTTAAAATGTATGTCAAACAATCCTGTTTCCCAAATAAAAGACTCATTGTATGAATGATTTATGGCAGCACACCAAATACACACTATAAAATTAAACTCCTCATTCAGTAGCTGTACCATTTACATTAAGGCTTTTTCCTGTGGTAAACAAAGGGCACACTGAAAGCCAGTCAGTGACAGATGTATTAACTACACTATTTTACTTACTTAACAATGGGAATTGATGATCACGTCACTCAATACGCTGATTGCTTTTATTCTGATCAAAGGGAATAGTAAGTCTACATATGCAATAGGAACCACATTGATCACAATGCAGTGCAGTGTTTTTATTCACAGTTTTGTGGATTGATAGTTCTCTAATTTATACACAATCAAGAGGATTATTTCAACAAACTAAAAGAAAAAACAGCATTAACTAATACCATGACAATGCCATACTGCTGAAAATGTTATTTCTGATTTTGATACAAATTTTCTAACTTAATATAAAAAAATAACACAAAGGATCAATTAAACTCCAGAAAAGAGCAAGTGTTTAATGTGTACTTAAATAAATAAGCTTGAAAACGAACACATACATTTAAATTGTTACAAAATGCTTACAATACCATCAATTATCCTTCCAGTCAGCATGGAACAATTCAATATTTATTCATTCCTTCTGCAGTAGTTCAAATTACTCCATTACTCCATTCATCCATTTTGTAAAACTTCTCCTATTCAGGGTCATGGGGGGTCTGGAGCCTATCCTGGAGGCTACAGGTGCAAGGCAGGGAACAACCCAGGATGGGACACCAACCCATCGCAGGACACACTCACACACCATTCACTCACACATGCACACCTATGGCAATTTGGTAACGCCAACCAACCTCAGCATGTTTTTGGACTGTGGAGGAAACCCCACGATGACACAGGGAACCACACACATGGAACCCTGGCAGAGACTTGAAACCAGGTCCCAGAGGCATGAGGCCAGCGCACCACCCCCTCAAATTACACATATACACATGTATATGTACGCATGAACCTGTCAGAGGAAACTGGTCTCGCAAACTGGAGTTTTAGCGGCAGACTCACCGAGGGCCACGGGGAGAAGCTGGAGATTCTCAAACTCTAGCGTGGTGTAAGCCGGGTCCAGGGCGTCGCTGTAATCCACCATCTCCATGTCTAACAGCGTTCCTGACAAAGTCATCCTCAGCCACCTGACAGCAAGTGAGAGGCTCACGTCTGCTGATAACAGGGATTCCCCCCCCCCCCCCCCCCCAACTCCTCCTAGGCGGTCCCACCCGCCCTCCCATGTCAGAGAGCACCTGTGAAGGTAAGATGTAGAGGATTCCTCAAGTGACTGGCTGCACGTGTCTCAAGGTGACCTTTGGGGTGGGGTGGTGCATTAATATGTAGCCAGCAGATGCAGCTGCTGCTCTGGAGCTGTTTTTGGTCTGTGATTTTACATCCAAGTATCTGTATTGATACAGCTAGATCAGAAGGATGCATTAAATACACACTATGTGGTCGAGTTTGTGGAAAGATAGTGGATGTATTTGTGGTATGAAAAACCACACTGATACAATGCAACAGGATTAAAAGCAACAGGAATGAAATACCTTCATATTTGCTACTGGCTGTAACAGGTGAATCACTGTTTGACCAATGTAGAGCAAATTTCAGTGTAGAGCTGGTGCGCATTTTCAGTACAGCGGAGCTACGTAAATGTAAATTTTATATCCCAAAGCAGCTGGTAGGATGGTATCACCTCAAAAACAGCCCTGTACCTGTTAAAATCAATTCTAATGATATTACATTGTGAGTTAAAATAAATAGCTATTATTCATTATTGTGTGTTACTCACCATCAGCATGACCAAAATGAAAGTTACACCCATAATCTGGCTAATGTTTAAAACCATTTAAGCCTTTCAAAAATGTTGCTGCGATACTAGATATCACAACACAGTCATAAGGAAGGTGATAAACGACACGTTACACAAATAAGTATGTCAGACATACTGTAAGTCAGTAAACTGCAAAGTTCACATTGCAGAATTATAAACACCAGTTTTGGCAATGCTGACTTATCACGCTGCATACATTTCCTTAAAACAAAAAGAATTGTCTTGGAAATGCCCCATGAAGGCACATCCTATTCGACTCCCAGCCCATGCCAATGCAATAATATTTTGAATTCTTTAGGGCCCCTGTTGCTCAGGGGCTCTTGGAATCATCCTAACTACCCCCCCCCCCTTTCCGGCACCCCTGCCTGTTCACATGTAGGCTCCCACAACACAGTGAACCGGTTCAGCTCCGAGGAGAGTATCTTATCTGCGTGGCCATTTCATTCCGTATCTCATGCGTCGTCATCTTTTCTCAAAACTCAGCGAAACCAAGCTCAATAAAACATTATCTCCAAGGTCAGACCGTTACTCACTAATCGGACCAATGATTAGAAGACACCACAACCTGAAAGCTACTTTCTCCATGATAAGGAAGGTTGAATGGCCCACTCACGCCTTGGATATTACTGATAAGGGCGACGATGCCTTCGAAATAGTGCTTGTATTTACGGTTTGTTTGGATATGTAATGTATCACATTAATTCATACATTCATGGTGGCTGAGTAGACAGAACTTCTGGCTTATACCTCCAGGTTTGGGGGGGCTTCCATCCTGCCCCTATTCTGTGTGTGTCACATGGGTTTCCACTCACAGTCTAGAGGAAATCCCATTCAGGGTGTACCCCCACCTTGTGCTGCCTGGGATAGGCTCCAGGCCCCCCCACGACACTGACCATGATGGATGGGTGGAAGCTGTCAACTCTGTGTGTGCCGTGTGAAGGACTGGCATCCCATACTGGGTGTTTTGTGGACAGATCAGATTAAACTATGACAACATGCTGTAATTGTGCTGCACGTGTCCAATGACATCCTCCTATCTTTAATAACTGCCTGTAAATGCTGGTGCACCTTATTCACATTTGTACCCACATAAGTATACAGGACCTCTTTGGTTTTCACATATGCCATCTTGATCTGCTATAAAATAGTCACACATAAAAACACAAGTCAGAGCAAAGCTTGGGGGCGGCCATCTTTCCAATTGCCCTGAAACAACTTTTGGGGTTATGGGCCTTGTAGTGATATGATTGCTCTAGCAAGCATGGGATTCAATTCAGCAACCTTCCAGACACAGACAGACTCTTACTCCACAGGGCCATACAGCACTCTGGTAATGCAAACATTTATTTCACATGTGTAACACGTGTCCACACTTCATTCAGTCACACATTCTGACTAGGGGCTTCTGGGGAGTCAGTGGACATTTTTGCAGGAATAATGGCCAAGGGAAAGTGACTTTGGTACAGCTGTATCACTTAGTGCCCTAGATACAGTAAATAGGTGAAAACAATCCTGAGTTTAGTAGAACCATTTTCACTGTTACTGGGAATTACTTAGTTTCTCATCATGAGGTTTTCTTAATACCAGTGATACATGTTTTTTTGGTGAATGACCACTGCAATGGCTGACGGCGTCTGACGATGCTCACAGAAAACAGCTTCTGTCTCTTCCTCCAAAATGACACACTCAAGGCAGTTGACTTCCACCAAGTCTCTTTTTGGTTGGCCTTTGATCATACAGCCATCAGAGGTGGAAGTTTACAATGCTGAAACTGAAACATACATATAAATTATACATATATATTTTTAAATAAATTGTTACAGTTCATGTCATTTGATATTAAAATCATGTTCATCACCACTATCTGCCATCCATCTCCCATAATCGCTTATCCACTAAAGGGTTATGGTGTGAATATGCTTACCACAGATTGTTCCACAACGAGAATGGTATATTGCTCCAGCTGATGGATGGTGCCCATCACCACATCACCAGTGCTTGAAGTGGGCCGGAACGCAGCGGAACGCAGTTCCAGAACTTCTGTATTCTCGTCTTTTGGGTTCTGCCACTTTTCTCTGCGTTCCGGTACTTACTGAAACTGATCTGACGCAGCGACAGTGGCCCGAGAAAATTAGAGTTCCTGCACTTATTTTTTCCCACTTCAAGCACTGCACATCACCAATGGATATTCTAAAGGGAGTGCATGTGAAATTCAGTAAATGGATTGTGTTCCTCACCATTCCCATACCATGGCATAGACATGCAAATTCCCATAATTCCAAGAGACATGTCAATAAGTTAAACACACCATATATCTGAATGCAGTTTTCAAGCAGTGATATTCTCAACATGCAGTATAAAGCACTTTTGCCACTTATTAAATGGCATGTCTAAGTATAGATACATCTAGACTTATCAGTTCAGCCATAAACAGATAAAAATGTAAGTAGCAATTCATATATTAAAAAAACAACCAATAGTTTAAGTGACATTTTATGGCAAAGCTTTCTGTAAATTAGTCACTACTGGCAATAATGACTCAATAATAATTAACAGCTGTTTTTCTTTGAGAATTAATCTGTAGAGGTCAGCACAAAACAATCCTCAGTATGCCTGTACTATAGATAACTTTGGTTGTTCCTATAGATGCCACTGCTCATACACTGTCCAGGATGGCAGGACTGGGTTCTGAGTAACTCTTGAGTAACCATGAGTTGAACCCCTTACAAGCGCAACAGCCTATGATTTACTTTAGTGGTCTATATGTAGTAAGCAAATTTTAACGCACATCATTCTATGGTTGAATACACCACAGAGTGTACGTATTATACACATATGCACCCCGTCTGGAGATCGAAATAATATTAAATAATAATGAATCTATCCATTTTCAAACCAGTTATCTAGATCAGAGGGGGCAGCACAGGGCACAAAACAGGGGCACACGCCGGGCAGGATCCCATCCCATTACAGGACGCAAGCACACACTCAGTCATACTCCACGGCAGGGTTCGAATTACATAGCGGCTTTCGACGGAGCCCTATTGTCCCGTCACATGCACGCGCAGACAAGTGCACGGCACCGCGGTCAATAACAGGGTTACCTCAAAAAACATTGTGCTATTATTACTGCAGGCAGTAAATACTGTAACATTTCATACAAGAACAGTATAAGAAGCACATACGAAGTTTAATGGAATGTAATGAGCGAATAAACATAGAACACTGACATATTTGTACTGTTTTTTATTTATTTCGGAAACCATAATTTACGAAAATAAAATATAACCTTTAACACAAAAGTGGACATTTTTAGAGCGTCCCCTAAAGGTCTCAGGGGAGGCTTTCAAGGGCGATCGTGTCCTTTTCATCTCCCATGTAATTCGAACCATGTTCTACGGGCAATGTGGAGTTGCTTAACTCAATGTTTTTGGACTGCAGGAGCAAAACAGTGTCCCCATACAGCACAGGGAGATGCAAACATGCAAACTTCACACACACTGAGGTGATACTCGAGCCCCAACACTAGAGGTATGAGGCAACAGCGCCACACACAGGGCAACTCTCTCTACCCATAATCATCAATGTGCATTGATATACGAGCTCAGCATAGCTGAAAAGGGCTGTTTTTAAACACTATCACTTGATCCGGCGGAACCTCCTTTAAGCGCCAGCAGCGATACTTCGGCGTTTCGCACCTTTTGTTTTTATTATTGGGCCATCGCATTAGCATACCGCTCATCCATGAAGAGAACAATGGGACAGTCAGTGATCCTCGCAGCGGCAGACTTACTGTCACCCCAAAAATGCCGTAAAACCCATAATAGTCATGTTTATGTCATATATTTTAGTGGTCATTGATTTAAGTATTAGTTTAAATAGATTAATTGAACTTAACCCGACACCGGTAATAAAATAAGAGCTTCAACCGAAAACATTGCATTTTACTTTCCATTTCAAATAAAACACAGGGTGGCTGGCTGTAGTGAGACGTTCAATTCGAGACAATTCTGCACACACATGCGCACGCATTACATGTATGTTTGTTTCATTACATTGAAACCCGTCTGTATAGCGTCTGCAAACTACCCCAAATCTTTTGATGCAGTTAATTTTAGGTTTATGATGGAATAATATGAATTTGCCTTAAGATTTATTGCGTGAGCATGAGCCTGAAAGCGTGTCACGCCGTACGCGAGAGACTTATGACAACCCTGAAAACGTGCATTTTGTTTTCCTAGAGTTGATTTGCATAAACAATAACATTATACAGTTTTACAAGATGAAAACTTGGACGAACACGAAATCACCAATAAACTACGTCTATGTATTCAGTATTTGTACAATACATACTGCGTCTAAAAATTTACAGGTTGTACGATTTCAGGACAGAGCAGTCGCTCTGTTAGGAACATTACGGATTTGGATAAAGGTGTTGGATTCCCTGCTGTTGGCACATTAGCGCAAACAAAAGGAGGTACGTCTTGCTTGGCGGTTCTAGCGTTAAAGTAAATGGTCCTTAATTTAAATGTAAAAGTTCTCACCATTTAATCACAGCATTATCGTGTTGAAGTCATCATCGTAATCTCTGCGTGTTTACACCTATATGCCTGTTTTGGGATGGTATGAGACACCATGAAGTTGAAAGGAAGACCACATGCTGTGGCAGTTCCAGACCATTTCAACCGGGGGGTGGGTGGACAGACTGGCGCCAGGTATTCTGTTAGGGGGGCAGATGAATTTGATCATAATGTACTCCACGTATCACTCTAGATTGCCAGCATTAAGAACCAAAAGACAGTTTTGAAAATCGCTGCATTATTTATGCAATGCGTTGCAGTTACATTTTGTAGTTTTTACAAATATGTAACTCGCTGATTTCTTGTTTAGACTGTCTTGCTTCCACAAGCTTGATTTTTTTTCTGTCGTCAACTTTGCTTTTCACCAACTGAATTAAGTGACTCAATCACCCACCCGGCGCACCCCCATTAAGAGCCCGTCTATAAAACGTCTGTGCTTACGTTTGTGTCTCGCCTGTTACAAGCGCACAAAGTTTTAGCCTACATATATAAATGTAAATAATATTAATGCATTTATTTCAGACCCAAGTAGCAGACCCTCAGTGGCAGCTGCCACTTCTCAGTGGCAGCTGCCACTTCTCAGTGGCAGCTGCCACTTCTGTCCGTCGCTAGTGGCGCTTAACAGTGGCAGGTGCCGTTCGAATACAGTGCCTGCCGGGGTACAGAGACAGTCACCCGCTGCTCGTGAACAAAATGAAAAACAGGAGACCACTCAGTCAAATACTCAAAATAACAGCACTGTTATGATGCGGAACGCTGGACCAATATACGGTTATTTTGTGTTCTATCTGAACTGTTATATTTTATTTGGAAATTTAGCTACATTTACGTTCACATTATGTTACAAAATGTATACATTATATTTTTCTTAATAAGCACTAAAATGCCTGACATATGTAACATTTCTTTAATTGCTATTTCCACGAATTTGCGGGATTAATAATTAGTCAGGTTCTAAGGCCAAAGCTGAAGCCGTGACTTTGCGGGGAATACACAGTATAATATAAATTCTGGTCACTCCCGGGTCAAAGACAAAACTGGGTTTTCAAGCTTCAAAAAAATAAAATATTACAACTTTTTTTTTTTTCATTTTCGGGTAAATTGGTTTGTCTACTGTTTAAGTTTAATATTTTCTATGAAAAAAATAATAACCAACATACATTTTTACTCTTGTTTCTAAATAGCAACTCATAAAATGTCATTCAGTGGGCTCTTCATTGAAACTCCAATGATCTTATTAATGGCAATATGAAATCTTTAAACAATGCTCATATTCTTCCACCCAGTAAGTTTTACCCATTCGCCCTCAGCACAGTAGGTGTGCTCAAAGGGTCTCGCCTTTCATACTCTGCATGGCGATCGGGATATTTTGGCTTTATATGATAAATTAATCCCGACGTTGAGAAAGTCTTTGTGGATGCACCCCCTCTAGAAATTTCAGCTTTGCGCGCTTTACAAACGGCTTTCCGTGTGTCTTTCTTAGATACAGTATATCGAAATGCGCCCACACAGCCGACATGCTGACACACACACACACACACACAGGGTGCGAACTAGGGGGGAGAGCAGGGGGAGCTTAGTGGCAGCTGCCACTAAGAACTGGCAGCTGCCACTAAGAACTGGCAGCTGCCACTAAGAACTGGCAGCTGCCAAGCTCCTTAGTGGCAGCTGCCGCTAAGAATTAAGTGGCAGCTGCCGCAGCAGTGTGAAGCTGGCAAGAATAAGAGGGAGACCTCCGGTCGCTATATCCTCTTATTGTGTCAAAATAAAAGTTCGGTTTTAATAGGCGATTAATCCATTGAATGGTGAATTATGTGCAAGAATGATAATAAGTGCTGTGATATATTATACTTACATCGCCAAATTTTATCATAAATAAAAGTAAATGTATAAAAACATTGAGAAACTTATAAATTTACCTTATTTTATACCTAAAACACGTAAATTATTTTGTTTATTACACAGCTTTCCTTACTTATTTTAAGTAAATTTTAACCATCCAAGATAAAAAAGTAAGAGAACTGCACAAACATTTATACCATATGTTGTTGCATAAAAGTAATCGTCAGGAAAACGTCAGGAAACGTATTTCTGCTGTAGTTTAGTGGTGAAAGAGACGCTTCACCTTCTTCCCTTCAACAATCTCCGGAATAGAGGTTTTGTGAAAAAAACCCGTTATGGAAGATCGTGGCCACTTCTCCAACTTGTGCCGGAATCCAGTCCCGTAGTCTTCCATCACTGTAGACAATTTGAATTAGCCCAAAACAATTATATTTAACTTGAAATTTAATTTACAATTCCATAAATCTGTCAAATGCAAAACATTAAAGACGAAATATATATTTTTTATTTTTAATTATTAGGTAATTGTAAACGAATAAGCAAATTTAGATATAAAAATGTGAAGTATATCATATAAAATTTTACCTTCAATTCGCACACGAGAAACCAGCAGACTCAATACAAAGCCGCAAGTCCGCCTTGATAGCTCGTAGAGCGCGTAAGTTTTTAATTTGAAAAATGCTCTGTTATAACCATGAAAACGAAAGTACTTCCGGTTCATTATGCTTGTTTATTCTTGCTAGCTTCAGGGTGTCACTAGCTGCCGCTACCTGACTTGTCGGGTGCCGTTGATGTCACTTCCTCCTGCCAGCTGCCTTTTTGGGACTGAACCCTTACTGCGAACATTCACGGAATATTTGCCGAACCGAAAATTGTTTGCTGGGAGATAGCGGCAGCCACCAATCGATCCACAGTGGCAGCTGCCACTTATGCCTGTCGCTAGTGGTGCTTAACAGTGTTCAGGTGCCGTTCAGTGGCAGCCTGCCGCCGTAGAGAGGCACCTACCAACCGCTCCTGGAAGAAACCAGAGATTCTGTGCATCAGCTACGCCAGAGAGGAATACGAAAAATAATAGAGCACTTGTGTGTTGTTTGTATGACTAAGAATGGTATTATTGTTGTTGATCTTTTTAAATCTTTTTAAGATCATATTTGAGGAAACAATGATTGTATGTCGCTAGTGGCGCTTAACAGTGGCTGGTGCCATTCGGATACAGTCCCTACTGCGGTAGACGGGTAGAGGAGTGGCAGCTGCCACTTTTGTCCGTCGCTAGTGGCGTTTAATAGTGGCAGGTGCGTTCGGAAACAGTGCCTGCCGCGGTAGAGAGGCACCTACCAACCGGGAGGTAAGGAGCTAGATAACAAAAACTTCATTTATACAAAGGGAGTGACCAGAACTTAATTACAATATTATACATTAGCAATGAAACCCAGTCCACTTTTTAGGTAAAACCTTACTACGTATTCAACAAGTTAAGGTATATAGGATGATCAGTTGTGACTCTGAAAGAGAAGTATCACAAGCTGACTGGGAGCTGTCTACGTCAACCATGTCAGGTAATTTTCAGTTTCAGTGTGTCTATTAAAATGCTTTATTCATGCTTGTTTTGTGTATAGCTTTAGTGAAGTCAAGTAAATTAATGCTCATAGGTAAAAGAAATTATTGTTAAATAGTATGCTTTAAGCATAAGGGATAACACTGATATTTTTCCATTCCACGTATGTTCTAACAGTAAAAAGTTATCAGGTGAAGTGTACCCCCGCGAAGTCGCGGTTCAGAGTTTGCGGCTTCAGTCATTCGCGGATTTTTTTCTTAGAATCTAACAAATAATTGTTCGCGGAAACCCCTGCAAAAGCCCGGAAACCGCAAATATCCTCCGCATGTTTTCTTTTGCTTTTTTCGTGGCAATCTATCATTTTTCATGCATTTTAGTGCTACATTATTAAGAAAAATACAATTTACTAATTTTGTAACAGAAATTTGAACGTAAATTTAACTAAATATTCATATAAAATATAACTGTATACAGTTTTTAGTACTGTATATATTTTTTTTCACAATTCGCTGGTGCTCTTGGAACGTAACCCCCACGAATTTCGGGGGTCGACTGTATTGTTAATATAATTTCTATTCTGGTACAGTTGTTGTATCCACATTGTTGTTTCGTCTTTACAAAATATATGAGTGAAAGAAATTTAAATGGTTAAGTTGATTGACATATTTCACACAAGTTACTGGCTCGGTGTGACAAATATTTATACCACAGACATAAGTCATAGAAAAAAATGTTCTTGTACAACAGATGGATAGCAGATACTACTCTTTCTCAGTTTATTTTAATTGGTGGTCCTTACAGAAACTTTTAGCAAATGTTTAATGTTCAATGGCAAGTATGTTTAGAGAGAAAATTGAAGATGACCATTTTCTGTAACTTTCAGAGAGGGTGTTTGAGTTTAGTTCTGAAGAGGAGCTGCTTTCACTGAGACCGGAACTTGACTGTCCTTACTGTCAAAAGGCAAAAGCTTCGCATGGCCATCTTTTAAGCCGACATTTGAAGCTAGCTGTACATTATAGTGAAAATGATACTGGTGAGTATGTGATATTTTTATTGTTACGGTTCTTTTGTTACGGTTTTCTGTACTGTATGCATGTTTATGTATATGGATGTTTTTCCTAGACAAGTTTTCTATACCATGCTTCTGTGCTGAGAGGCAAGTAGCAAAAAGAAGCCACTGGCACTGTCCAAAGTGCCATCAAAAAATCAGCAGATCATCAGACTTTAGGAAACATCTCCAAAATCATGGTTAGTTTTAATGAATTCTTTATTTGAACAACTTGTGTTTTCCTTTGTTAAAACAATAGGTCAGCGGGAGGAAAAAACATAATCAAGTTTTTGTGTTCAACAGGTTTGGTGGTTACTGGGAGTCGAAGAAGTAAGTATCTCTTATACTATTTCTTTGAACAATTTATTGCTATTTATGTCCTTTCAGAGAGCCCCTTTTCATACTTTTTCTTTTCATTTTTACACCTACAGCTGGAGATGCAAAAGACCTACCCACTGCTCAAGACCACTCTAAATCTAATCACCTGAAATGTAAAGTTTGCCGTTTAAAATTAGCCCACATTTCTAATTTACGAAGTGAAAAGATGCAGCATGACAAGGAAAGACAACCTATTATTTGCATTGATGTGAAGAATGGAATTTTTGTAACTCCAAAAGATCGCTATGGACCTAGGGTGCCGGTTCATGTCTGCAAATCCGTGCTCTCTTAAACAATTTCCTGTGAACTGCCCATTTGCAAAGACTTCATGGCAATTGCTTTAAAAAGTGGTAATCCAGGGATGGAATGCAAGCATCTGGAAAGGACCAACAAAGCCTTGGCATATACGACCCCCCCTCTTCTGGCAGAAAAATCACTTCAATTAATGAGTGACAGAGGTCTAATCTCAAGAACTGCACAAAAGGAATGTCTGGACATGAATGCAAAAGCACATTCTGAAGACATAGACTGTGTTTTCCCAGTTTTTTGGGATGAAAATAGCATTTCTGAGCGATTAATTTATTTTTCAGTGTTTACAAATAAGAAGGACAACTGGTGCAAGTTTGCAAGGACCCGTGTCACTTTTGATAGTCAGTCAGGAAAGTGGCATTGCCAGTGCAGAGTGAAGCGAAGAGCCAGTTGTACACATAGGTACCTTTCTATGTGGTACATGTTTCAGGAACATCCATGTTTTTTTAAATCAACTGCTAATTTAAATTTGGAGGATACTGATACTGATGATGTGGAAGAAATAGTCGCAGAAACAGAGGAACCCCTCAGACAGTGTGCTGAAAGGTCTGCAGGTGTTATTAAAATAACACACAAAAAAGATCTCCCACATGAGTTCGTCACCAAAGAAGAGCCTCTTCCAGAGTCATTTAAACCACTGGAGGTAGTGTGCTCATATTGTCCTGGACCTTGATGGCTTTTATTTTATAGCCATTAAATTTCCTTTGACAAACTGTGATTTAAAGACTCTTTATCTTAGCAGGGTCTTCCTGCACCAAAAAGACGAAAAGAAACTGAAAATTTTGGAAGTCGCTGCCTTGCACAGGACATTTATGCCTGTGTGTATCAAAAGATCAGAAAAAAGTAAGACCTTTTTTTTTAATAACACAACAAATGTGTCTGGACAATCTTAAATGTGTAGATATTAAAGAAAATCTTGTTCACAGGTCAATGCACCCAGAAGTCAAAACCATAAACTGGGTGCAGTGTGACTACTGTGATGGTTGGCTGCACAGTGAGTGTGCAGGGACTGACACTAGCACATTTGAGACAGATACCCCATTCAGCTGTGGCTGTCATTTTTCAGAGCCATATCCATATGAAAGGTACAAAATATTATTACGTTTAATTAAGAAAACATTATTTGGTTATAGGTCTAATTCTTTTTTTGTCTCCAGTGTACATGCTGCTGTACGGGAGGGACTAGTGGTCAGAATAATCACAGATGAGGAAATTATGGTAAAAAATAGTTTTCACAGTTGTGATACTTGAAGCTGACAATTGATTAAAGCCTGTTATTTACTTCTCTTAATCTGGTATAGGCACTTCAAAATTATCTTGTATCAGGAACACTGAAGTCCAACAGAATGTACCTTCACCAGAACCCTACATTTGACCCAAAACTCAAACAACATAGAGATACATGCATCTCAGTGTTTGATGGAAAGCAAGTATGTAAATTTGTTTTGTAAACCCTTAATTAAGCACTATGTAGTTTGCTATATATATATAAATATATATATATAGCAAAAATAACGCAGTAACGACGTTAATTATTTTTTTGTTAATTACGTAAAAAATTTTAACGCATTTCACGCATGCGCAGTGTGACGAATTATTTGTCAGGAAAGTGGTTGGGGAGCTAAAGGCGAGATGGAGCAAGGTGGGCCCATGGACAGATTCAAATATAAAAAGAATGATGATGGTACAGTTAACAAGTACAAGGTTTTTTGCAAGATTTGTAACAAGGAGTTTCAATTTCACCGGAGCTGTTCAAGCTTGAGGTACCATGTAAACGCCAAACATGCGTTTGCTGGGCTGTCAAGTTCAGCAAGTGGTTTGCGCCAGACCACGCTCGATTTTCGCAGGCCATTAACAAAATCAACCTCAGATAATTTGACCGACACAATAGCAAAATGGATTGCAAAGGATTGTAGAGCCATTAGCATTGTAGAAGACTCAGGCTTCATGGATGTTTTGCAAGTGGCGTCTCAAGACTCATCCTATAAGCCACCGTCAAGAGCCACAGTTATGACGAAAATCCACGAGCTCTATGAAAACAAAAAAGAAAAAAGGAAAGAGGTCTTGGCTCAAGTAAATTATATCGCCCTGACAGGAGACCATTGGACATCAGTGAGTAACAACAATTACCTTGGTGTAACTGCACATTACATCAGTGACACGTGGGAACTGAAGTCTTTTGCGCGGACTATATTAAAAACTGAGGAGCGTCATTTTGCGGAGGCTTGTAAAGAACAGTTCCTGTCTGTTGCACGTAAGTGGGACATCGAGGGCAAAACGACAACCATTGGGACTGACAGTGCACGCAACATGGTTGCCGCAATTCGACTTACACGCTATGAACACATGAACTGTGTCACTCACATGCTGCAGAGAAGTGTCACCGTGAGTGTTGCTGACAGCGGCTTTGTGAATGCTTTGGTCAAGGCTCGCAAA